CAAGGGAAACAGTTGGGGGCCAACAGCAGGCTGGGAGGGCTGCTTGGAGGAGGTGTGCGTCACCAGGACCCAGAGGGGCTGGAGGAGCAGGGAGTGGGGAAGGGAGGGTCCTGCATGAGGACCCCCACTGAGCACAGAACCTGAATCCATCGGGGGCAGTTCGTTGAGGACAAATCTCTAGGCACGTTCTGGCATGGTCGGGTCCCCCTAGGCTGTCTCTGCTTAAAGAAAAGGCAGCGACAGGAGCTTCATTAGCACCTTGGAAGCCCCAGGAGCCCCTGGGGTGGGGGATGAAAAGGACCTGAGAAGGGAGCCATCCTAATTTTGGCACACCTGGCAGGGGGCACAGGGACACTGAAAAGGAAGCAGCTGGGGCCGGCTGGGCAGACCCGTCATTGTTCCAGCCGGATCCGCTGTCTGGGCTTCAAATGTAAAACCAGAGTAAGGGGGGAGTGGGGGCACCAGTGGCCTCTGCTCCTCCTTTAATAGACCAAAGGACCCTGGCGGCTTAGCTCTTTTTCCTAATTTAAAGATATTTTCAGGCGTTCGGGAGCTCCCCTATGGAGAAGCAGGAAGGTTGGAGTGGGGAGGGGGGGCTTGCAACTCTCATCGTGGTTGTCAGGGAGGATGAGGGAGTTGGCTAGGGGGAGGTGGCACTGAGGGTGGTATGGGGACCAAGGGCAGGACCCTTGGAGGGTAAGGAGACCATGCTGAGTTCTTGGCTCGCTTCTGCCTCAGTTTCCCCTTTCTGGAACCTTGGCATGCGTCTCCTGAAGGTAGGACGTATGCTGATGGACCCATACATCAGTCCCTGCTAAGGAAGGCGGGGCTCCTTGGGGTCATCCCTGGAGACCTTGAGTTGGGAGACACTGGGGGTACTGTCCCTTGCCAGCCCCCGGGCATGGATGGGTGGAGGAGGTTTGGATGCAGAGGTGTTTCCTCTCAGTTTGGCACTCCTGGTGCCAGGATGGGAAGGAGGGTAGGGTGCCAGGCCAATGCGGTGCAGCCACCTCCATGTGGGGCGGGGCTGGGAGTGGGGTGGGGGCTCGTTCCTTTGCTCATCTTCACCGGGGTTGGTGCCCAGGAACCAGGAAGGAGCCTGCGAGGGGAACCGGCTGGAGGGCGGGGTGGAGCCCAGCGGCAAGCTGGGGGCGGAGTTGCCCCTTCCCTCCAGTCCGGGCTCCCCTCACTGCCTTTTTCTCCGATTTTCCCTGTCTCTCTCCTTCCCTCGCCCCTCCCACTCCAGCCTGCTTCCCTTCCTGGCCCCCTGCCCTACCCCCTCCTCACCTCTCCCCTGCCTCCCTTCCACCCACCCCCACCCTGGCCTCCGCTCCTGCCTCTCTCAGTGCCACCTCCTTGGGCTGCCTTTCTCTTCCCTCCTCCGGGTTCCCAGCCATCGCCGCCCCCCTCAACCCCCGCCAGCCCGCCCTCCTCCCTCTGACGGGTTCCCGCCTCCCCATCATTCTCCCAGCCTCCCAGCCCCCTCTTCCCTCCCTCCCTCCCTCTCTCCCTCTCCCTTCCCTTCCTTCCTTCATCCCAGCCTCTCATCCCACTTTCCCCAGCAGGAGAGAGGGCCGCACTTCCCCCCTCCCACCCCCTCCCCGGGCCGGCGGGCTCGGCTCCGCGCCCTCCGCTGGGGC